AAAAAAAAAAAATAAATAAATAAATAAATAAATAATAATTAATTGCTGCTGCTCCTGCTGCTCCTGCTGCTCCTCTTGCTGCTAGGGGTGGTGCTGCTGCTGTAATAGTAATCACTCTTTATTATAATAAGAGGTGATGCAGCAGCAACAACTGATGCAGCAACAACTGCAGCAGCAGCAACTACAGCAGCAGCAACTACAGCAGCAGCAACTGCAGCAGCAGCAACTGCAGCAGCAGCAACTGCAGCAAATATCTTACGGAAGTGTATCTGGTGCAGTAGGGGCAATGCAGCGACAATGTGCGCATAGCTGTAGTGCCTCTGCAGCAAAACCACAAACCCTAAACCCTAAACCCTAAACCCTAAACCCTAGAATACCCAATTGAGACCCTAAAAATGGCCACTAAACCCCACAAACACTAAAAAACCCTACTAAACCCTACTAACCCTAGTAAACCCTAATAAACCCTAAACCCTAAACCCTAAACCCTCACCAATAGGAGTAAGACAACTGTTCTTGCAGATGTCATCAACTGGTTGTCCGCTACTACCAATAAAACCAATCTAAGAAAACAACATAAAAAAAGAATAAATAAATAAATAAATAAATAAATAAATAAATAAAATAAATAAATAAATAAATAAATAAATAAATAAATAAAATAAATAAAACGAATACATAAAATGAATAAACTGACTAAAAAAAATAAAATATAGAATAAAAATAAAAAATAAAAATAAATAAATAAATAAATAAATAAATAAATAAATAAATAGATAAGGAAGAAGAAAAGAGACATAAAAAGGATACACAAAAGGAGACACAAAAAGGAGACAAAAAAGGAGACAAATGAATAAATAAAATAAGTAAATAAATAAATAAAATAAATAAATTAAATAAAATAAATAAATAAATAAAACAATTAAATAAATAAATAAATAAAATAACTAAATATATAAATAAATAAATAAAATAAATAAATAAAATAACTAACTTTATTTAATTTAAATGAGTAAGGATTATTAACAGTCTTAGCATAAATAAATAAATAAATAAATAAATAAATAAATAAATAAAATAAATAAATAAATAAATAAATAAATAAACTAACTTTATTTAATTTAAATGAATAAGGATTATTAACAGCCTTAGCATTAGTAAATAATTTAGTAATAGGTAATATACTGGGGTGTATAGACAGCTGAGGAAGAGATACATTAATTGGATCATTAGGTCCCCCTATTATATAAAAGGAGACACTTTTACTTAATATATATAAATATATATCTGTATCTCTTAATGATATATTTATTGATTCTTTTTTATCTGCTGCTGCTGCTGCTGCTGCTGCTCCTGCTGCTCCTCCTGCAGCAGCAGCAGCAGCAGCAGCAGCAGCAGGAGGGGCTATGGCGTCCCCACATATCACCAACTTTACTATACGCGAGGATAAACGACGGTAATAATCACTCCTGTATACAAACCCTAAACCCTAAACCCTAAACCCTAAACCCTAATTTGCAATAATAAGAATATAAATGTGTATATATATAAGAGGGAAAAAGGAGAAGGGGTTAGTTTATTAATATTCTTTATATAAAAACTATATTAGGGTTTATTAGCGTTTATTAGGGTTTATTAGGGTTTATTAGGGTTTGTTAGGGTTTAGGGTTTAGGGTTTATACGAGGTTGCGCCAAGAAAGAAATCTCTTAAGAGAAGAAGACCGCGAGGGTTTGGTGTAGAGGCAATACGTAGACCTATAAATAAATAAATAAATAAATAAATAAATAAATAAATAAATAAATAAATAAATAAATAAAATAAATAAATAAAATAATTACCTGATACAAATGCGACGTATTTATCTTCTAAATCAAAACCCTCAGGGTCTTCCTCATTAGGGTTTAGGGTTTTAGGGTTTATAGGGGGGCCCCCCTCCTTATAATTAGGGTTTATAGGGGGCCCCTGGGGGCCCCCTACACCAGCAATACATATCTCATTAACACTAAATAAACCTGTCTGTAAAGAAAACCCTTTTACTGCAACTACCTAAGAAAAAAAAAAACACAATTAGGGTTTAGGGTTTAGGGTTTGCGGAAAAGGGTTTAGGGTTTAGGGCTTACTAATGTTTCTGTGGTATAGTGTTGTTTCTAGGGTTTAGGGTTTAGCGTCTCTAGTGTTTACAGTTTCTAGGGTTTAGGAGTATTAGGGTTTAGGATAATTAGGGTTCAGGATAATTAGGGTTTAGGATAATGAGGGTTTAGGATAATTAGGGTTTAGGATAATTAGGGTTTAGGATAATTAGGGTTTAGGGTTTAGGGTTTAGGTGCAAACCATGCCAGTAACACATCGATTAGCATCAAGAGATCCAGAGATTAAGAATTCTCCTGTAGGGGTTGTAGAGAATGCTGGTGGTTTTGCTGCTGCTGCTGCTGCTGCTGCATTTGCTGCTGCTGCTGCTGCTGTATTTCCTGCTGCTTCTGCTGCTGCTGCTGCTTCTGCTGCTGCAGCAGCAGCAGGAACTAAAGCTATTCGTGCTGTTGTATCCTCTAAATAAAGTTTTGCCTCTTTTGCCTCAACTGTCTGTGTTGGAGTCTGAACCACAAACCCTAAACCCTAAACCCTAAACCCTAAACCCTAAACCCTACAAACCCTAAAATCCCTAAACACTAAAAACCCTAAAAACAATAAACCATCAAAACCCTAAACCCTCAACGCTGTAAACCCTAAACCCTAATCTGTATGCATAAACACTAACACAACTTTAATAGCATGAAAGGAAGCAGCACATGCAGCATGAATAAGACAACAATACCTCAAACCCTAAACCCTAAACCCTAAACCCTAAACCCTTGCCTGTATCTCAAGAGTGTTTATGTAT